CCGCTAAATGTTTGTCTAATAAAAGAACATCGTCAAGATAGTTTAGTCACAATCAAAAAATGTTTTCCCTTAAACAGTTGTTAATTACCTGTGTTCAGGGGGTTGAAAAACATATGCATAGTGCAAATTCCAAGAAAAAGAGCTTAAAATTCATTTTTTTTATTACTATTATTATTATTATTATTTATATTTTAAAAGTATAATTTAAATTCCAGTTTTCTGCAATGAGAGTTTCTGGATAACTATATTGTTTAGGTTAGTCTAAAATTTTAGGTTTAGGTCTACTAGTTTAGGACCTAAAAGGTATCGTAATCGCAACCATATTTATTATAACCTTTTAAATAACTTAAAACAAGTTTGTTATGTGTTATTTTCAACCATTGGCTGTAAATAGTCAATTATACCAGCATATTTGTTTTAGTTCTAACCTGAATTATTGTCTCCTCCAATACATTCTGCCTTCTTTGGAACTCTTTCCCCCCCTCGTTCTAAAATGACTCTTCTAGGAATTTTCCCCTTCCTATCTTCTCATTATTCTGTCTGTGGACCTTCACCTGGATCTCAAAGCACTCGTTTTTAAGTGTTTTGATTTCTGAGATGAGCCTGCCTAGTATTTTCAACATTCTTGGCTTCTATGCATTTTTCACTAAAACTTTACTAAGAAGCAAATCATCGCTTATTTGGCCAATCGCCATGCTTTTAGTTTTGCTATTCAAGTGTGAATTTAATAAAAAAAGAAAACCTTACAATGGTTCGTACAGTAGGATTCTCCTAACATAACGATTTCCCTAAATCTATCAGACTTTAAGGGCAACTGCAACCTTGGTTATTTTCTTTGGAAAGTTCCACTAACCTTGTAATTGTTTGGTCTAGTGGTGACATTGTTTTACCTAAAAACGTGCTGTAGGTCTATCAAAAAATATATTTCTTACTTTCTGTTGAAGAAAACATTATTTGGACCTCCGGATTTAACCTCGGTCCTTAAAATATACCGCAATTGCTGGGGATGGGAAAAATATTTTAGACTGTCTTTCGTTTCTGTAATTTTAAGAAAGATAAGCATCCACCTAATTTCAAGTGTGTCACATATTTTAGGTCCTACTCCTACATAGATCTTTCTCTCTCTCGAATTTGAATTAATTGATTTTTTTCTAGATTTGATTCCAAGGACGATTGGAATTAAATAAATATAAGTTTATTGTAAGCCATAATAATGTAAATACAATTTTTAACCAATTTATGCTATATTGCAACCAAAAGATCTCTTAATTTGTAATGTAATTATATAACATGTAATTCTAAGACAAATCTTAATATAAACTCACTATCTGAATCTGTACCTTTAATAAAAGACAAAAAAAAACATTTTTGGAAAGCGTGTAAAATATTTTTTAATAAAATATTTTATAAACTCAGCCTAAGGCTTGTATATAAGAATATATAAACAAGGGCTTAAGGTCATTTGTGTAACTTCAGCAGTTCCCCGTCCCCATAGCAAGATGTTTAGTTTAAGCCTTGGTTTAAGAATCGATAGCGGTATTTACTTTGCATTTTAGTCACCTACTCATTTTTGTAAACAAATAGCCTTGGGGATTTTATTATTAAACAGATTTAGATTCGTTTTGACCTGTCTAAAAAAATAAAGTTCATTATTTTATCAAAAGTGAGCAAAAAACACTCTAGAAAATGGTAAACAATCAACAATGTTGCGTCACCCTGTTGCTGTAGAAAAGCACCTGTTCGGTGTTTTGTGGCCGGGTATAACATAATATATAGTTACCTGTTTGAATACAAGCTTTTATTTAATCAAAACTGCAAAGCAGATTTTTCAAATACAGCCACAGAATAAAGGATCCGATATCTAGATCATTTTAATAGTTCTGAGACATACTAGCGTTCATAAGTGAAGGACTATGCTGGGTTACAATGTGTATATGAGCATATGTTTACATCCACAAGGTAGATTAATACCCAAGCTAGTAAATATTAGACAGCATCATAATACTTGTCTCACCATTTTCCAATTCCAGCCGGAAAATACAGATCATGTTAATGTAACCCACGTGTATATAATTATATCCACAGGGTGGATTAACCCAAGCTAGTAAATTAACTAAAGTAAATCTACTACCTCTTCTATCTCTGAAAATATATAATTACTTACTTGTTACGCCCCCTGTTGACAAAAAATAGCTTTAACAGTTATAGCTATTACATGCAATTTGAGACTTAACAGTTATGTCTTTTTTTATATTTGGCTTTAACATTTATAGCCAGTATCTACAAAAGTATTTAGAACTCACTTTCGTTCTCATCACTAGTACTACTGTACACTCTTATACGCCGTTTTCGATCCAAAAAATCCAATTTTCTCAAGAGATGTCTTCTTTCCCTTTCCAGCCTTTCATTTTCATCACCACTAGTACTTAAGGTACGTTTCCTTTTACTATATTACGGCATTTTTATATTCACTTCTAACTATACTGTTTACTCGACAAAGCACAATAATGTTATGAGAAGACTGACGGTCGGGTACGGATGACTAAGGCCTATGGCTAACAAAAAATGCATTCTTTACGTAATTGGGAATAAAATGTGCTCGATAAAGTATGATAATGATACTACGGGTGTATATCTATTTGGACGAGGATACGAAATATAATTAACCTATAAATAAGTATGAGAGACTTTTTTTTCGGGTTTAAAGTGTAACCCGACTGTTCCAAATATGTTTAATTATTATACCTGGAAAACATACTTTAGGCATTCTAAAATTTTTACAGCGTGTTTATTAGATGATATTAAAAGATATGTGTTAATTGCCAGACGAATTCAATGGGAATTAATACTCGCCAGACGCGAATAAAGATTTTAAATGAGTGCGATAAGCAAGTCTTATGAGTATCCATAAGCGCGAGAAAGATAGTTTATTGAGACTGACGTAACAGCATTTTGGAGTCGTAAAAATAAAAAAAAAACTAACTAATATTGAATAAATAAAAAGAAACATTTTTTAATAAAAATGTACTATTCAAATCCTTTCAATAAGAAGACTTTTTAATTTAAGTATTTTGTGTCTGAAAGAATAAAAAGACTAATAATTATTTAAAAATTAGCATAATATAAAATATATTTTTTTCAACGTCACAAAAGTATAATTATTAGGTATTATACTTTTGTGACATATTATATTATTATTAATTTTTGCGACCTGATTGACAATATAAAAAAATCATTTTAACGCCTAAGCATAAAATTAAAGCACTTTTACTTACTTTTGAATCTATTGAGAAAGATTAACAATGGTACTTTAATAAAATTCCAGAATACTTATTTTTTTAGCACTGTGCATGTTACACTTTTGTCGGGACTACGTTTTCTGATAAAACCACTTCTTTAAATTTTAAACTATGTTGTTGGCGCACTTTTAAAAATTATTTGCATTTTTGTAGTCTGCCTTCATCAAAAACAATAACTTTGTCACTAGTAACTTCTTTGCAAACTACACAACTTAAATGTTATCCATTGTGATTTAGTAGTTAGTAGAGAAATTAGTAGTTACTAAAATATTTATTTGCAGTAATTATTCTAAACTATTTACACTATGCACGCCAATATTTAATTTATAAATACATATTTGTACATGGTAACTTAATTCCAACGAAATAATATCTGAATTAAAAGTCTGCAAATAACTGAAATGAAACCGAAAAAAAAATTGTTTTTATGAAAATTTGAATTACTCCAAAATACTGTTAGGTCAGCCGCATCGGCTCATCATCGGCTGCCGACGGGTCTCAATAAACTATCTTTCTCGCGCTTATAGATACTCATATAACTTTTTTGTCGCGCTCATTTAAAATCTTTATTCGCGTCTGGCAAGTATTAAATCCCATTGAATTCGTCTGGCAATTAACACATATTTTTTAATATTATCTAATAAACACGCTATAAAAATTTTAGAATGCCTAAAGTATGTTTTCCACGTATAATAATTAAACATATTTGGAATGGTCGGGTTACACTTTAAACCCGAAAAAAAGTCTGGCATACTTATTTCTAGGTTAAATAGATGCTAAAATTTAAGAATAAACAAATTTCAAGTTGCCTAAAGAATGTTATTTGGATTTATTTTTTTGCAAATGTTATGGGTTGCGCAGTAGCGAAATACCTCCAACCCCCCAGCCAGACTTAGGATTCTGGGTTCACAAGTTATTAAAGTTTATTTTTTTTTGTTATTCAGGCTAGGACGTTTGCCAACATGCTACCAAAAAATTTTAATATTATCAAGGATTGCACAGAAAAAAATAACTTGGCGTAATTAGATAAGATTTATTATCTGATGAGTAATTTATTGAATTATATGTGTATTTTTTTGGATTCAGATAAAGCAGTAGTCAAATTTACTAGATACATTATGCACAAGAATCATTTTTTCTTCTAACACAATATTTACTCGCACAAATTAAACTTTATTTGAATTAGATTATACAACCTACTAATTATTAAAAACACATAAATCGTTTGTTTATGATTATTAATTTTAATAGTGTAGTTTAACGAAATAGGACCTAATTACTTTTAAAACAAGTGTTGTTTAGTACTATTGTCCTTTTTATGTTGACCTGACAGAAAACTTTTTTATTTGACTCAAATTTATTTTATACCGTTTGTGTTTCAACACAATGTTTTATTAAAGTAAGACATTATTTTGTTTAAAACAATCAAAAAATTTGTAGACAAATTAGACAAGGTTCTTAGTTATCCCAGATAATGATACGGAATAATGGAGACTATATATTAGTTAGAGATAAGATTTTAGGCATTGCGTCATTTATTTCCATCTAACCATCGCAGCGTTCGCAACTTAAACGTTTAATTTGTGTTGTGAAGCAATTCGATTGTTTTACCAAATTATTTCAAATTAAAAATATTTAATTAAGAATATATTAAAAAGTATATAGACTTTGATTTTACTGTGTCAAATGTGTAATTAGGTAATAATGGAAGAAAAGCAAGATTATTGATTGAGTGAGACCTCGAAGAAATCACGAAAGATTTTGTGAGTAAGTAATTTCCAATTTTATTCAGATAATTATTATAATATTAAGACTAATGCAACATTAAACAATAAATGCAAAATTCATGAATTCTATCTTTTGGTAAATTTAAAGGCAGGTTTATAGAACATATCAATAGTTCTAATCATAAGAACATTTATAAACATAAGAAGTAAATCAATCATTTATTTATTTATACACCAATCATAATATTATCAATAGTCGCCCATACAGAAATTTTTATGTTTTTTTAGATAAAATCATCCTTGAAATAACTCGAATAAAATTTTCAGATAACTCTGTATAATAATATTATAATAGTAAATTATTTCCAGGTGGAAAATTATTTCCTTCCCTGATCATGCAATGAATTTATTCAAATAGAATATGCAAGTCATGGCAACTTTTCTAAAGACAACGCAATAAAGAAACTACTAAACGAGTTGACAGATGATATATTTCTTCAGGTAATATTATCTATAAAGTAATAGAAGTATCCGTGATTTAATAATTTTGTATTTAATTTTTTAGGCGCTAGAGCTAACATTGTAATGCAATTACTGGCCTATATTTTGTCAACAATAAGTATCCGAAAGGAAAAACCAGCAGGACGGTGGAAGCTCCTTCGCTTAGAAGTTGCTGAAGGATAACCATAAACCCTGAATCTACATAAGAACTTTCTCTAAGTATGCATGTGTGCTTATCTACCCTAGCAAATTCCCTTTTTTGGTTTAGTAAAAAACTTTTCTAATGTAGGTGGTAAATTAGTTCCCTCACGCTAAGATATTATATACACAGGCACGTTTATTTTGTATTTGATAAAATAAAAGTATTTACTACAACATGTGATTTTTCTAAATTAGTACTTCTTCCTATGTATGTACCTGTGAATTACCTCCTCATTTTTGGATAAAACGTTTGTTTATCACACACAACTATATTTTTCATCTGTTTTCAACTACTAAATTTTCTTTTGTATAGTACATAATATTTTATTTGAAAAAACTAACTACTTCATTTCAAACACAAAAATGTTTATTAATTCTTAATAATTAATATTTTATAAATTACATAATAGGGTTATTAATATTAGGAGAGAACTTCTAGTCAAAATATTTAGATACGGTAAATTAGGTTTTGTCTGTCCCTATAGTGCTCAAGTATTTTATCTAATCTATACAAGTTTTTTTTTCTGTGTGTTGAGTTTTTGAAAAAAAAATGATTTTTCGAAAAATTCAATTTTTTAAGCACTTTAACAACACTAGTATCACAACACTACTATTTAAACTAGTTTCAAGTCCGGCTTTGGTTTTTTAAATAATCGTAGTATACTTTGGAAACTGGATGAGCGCTAATTAACATTGAATAAGAACAATGGAGCCAAATGGAAGATTCAAATAAGTAATATCCAGGGCAGTATTTTAATAGTTATTTTTTATACAAGACGATTAAATGGTATTTTATCGTCGACCGAAAAGATTTTCGGCAAACGATAATGCAATTTTATCGCCGTGTATAAAACAATATTTTTTTCCATAGCGAGTTACGTTTTAAAAAATATTCAGAAATTATTATTTCAAGGAATTTATTACGAGTAGAAAAAATATTGTGCTGGGTTGGCGTTGGTTTGTTTCTATGTAATTTACAGTTGAGGGTTGGAACCTTTGGTGTTACACAGCAAAATAAAACACACACACACACAATAAATCACCACAATAATCATGTTAGTATTAGAGATAAGCAGAAAATCGCAAACTGCGATTTAATCGCAGCGATTGTAAATTCGCAATCGCAACCTGTGATTCCTTTCCATAGCAAACTGCGACTTGCGATTGAAACATATATCTGCCGATTTTGGATTTTTAGGCAACCAATATTACACCAGTTGCGATTTGCAATCGCAGTGGGCACGCGAACGAAGAGCTGCGAACGAAAATCACAGCATTGCGATTTTCGTTTGCACCGGCGGTGAGAAGCCGAACGATGAGCTGGGAACGAAAATCGCAATATTGCGATTCTCGTACGCACCGGCTGGCGACGGCGCGTCATCAACACGGCAGTGGCAGCGTTGTTACAAGGGTAAAAACTGTTGTACTATAAATGGTGTCGAAATTGTACTTTTCTAAGTGGGATTGTACATTTTTGGTGCAAAAATGTGGGGTCATGTGATCTCTCTATTTACATTTTTACCAAGTTTTGGTACGTAGGATGCATCCACACTATCCTAAAAACAGCGGAACGGCGTATTGGCTTAACGACCTTGAATCGATTTCCTGCAATTCTATTGGCTGAAATTTTTGCCAGGTGAATTTGACACATATAATTTCTGACAGATGAATTTTTCAGCCAATAGAATTGCTGGAAATCGATTCAAGGTCGTTACGCCGATACACCGCCGCCGATCCGCTTTTTTTAGGATAATGTGGATGCACCCTCACAGAATTATACACCATATGCTGTCCTCCTTTCACGCAGTTGAGCAGCTCTGAACTGTTCAAGAACGCGATACTCTCCCTCCATTCAATTGAGTCATAAAGTTCAGAACTGGTTCCGCGCCATATGGAGGCACCAGGCTATCTCGCACAGCTTCTTTCAGAACCGTTCTGAGCAGCCCAGGGCGTAAAGCTCTGGAACTTGAAATTCGCAAATGGAGGACAGCAATACAGTAGCTTCAAAGAGCTTTGAATAGCACTGGTTAACTGGGAACTAATTGCGTGACGTCACGTTTGACATCGGGACACAATAGATCTCTAAGGTCGCAGTGATTAGCCCCCCTCCTACTCACCGCATGGATATCAAACTTACGTTCGACATCCGTGCGGCTTGAACAGCATTTCAAGTGATGTTAGTGATGTATAATTCTGTGCCTCTGCTCCTAGCAACCTGCATTTCAAATCCACGCATCGCGTATCACCGTTCGTCTAAAAATATGTACGTGGGTTTAAGTTTGGGTTTGAGAAGTAAGAATTGTACATTTTTTCTTGCAATTGTACCTATGTACACCTTGACTATCAAATGTACCCAAAATAGTACACTTGTACCTATTGTAACAACACTGGGCAGTGGGCAGGCGAACGAGGAGCTGAACGAAAATCGCAGCTCATCACAGCATTGCGATTGCGATTTTCGTTAGCACCGGCGGCGCGGCATCGGGAGTGGGCACGCCAACGAAGAGCGGCGATTGTGATTTTCGTTCGCAGCTCCCAACACATCGGCCTAGACTAGATCGCAAAATCACATTCGCAATCAGGGCCCCGTAATTTTTATGAAGCGTTGGAAAATAGGCTTATATATGTTTATATACCGCATAATATATATGTATAATTTTTTAGTTTTAAATTTTGATAATAGTTTTAGATTTATAATATAATTATGGATTTAGAAGGTTAAAAAATTCTTGTTTTCGGTTATGACTAATTATAGTTACAGTTGCTCCCAGGTAATGATTCAGATAAAATAATTCATTCAAGGACAGTTTTGGATTCAAATTATAAAAAATGATCTATTTTTATCCTTTATTTACTAGAAGATATAGAGCACGAAAAAGAAACAGCCCTTTCTCTTTATTATATTTTGTTATATGTATATTATATTATTATAAACATTTTTATAACAATCCATAATATAATATAATTTTCTGAATATACTAACAGTTGTGGATCGGCTGCTATGTTAATTTAAATACATCCTTTACAATCAGTTTTTTCATTTTAGAGAAATTTCAAATATAATAAAATGTGATATTGTCTTTTTATTTATCTAAAAGTTCGAAAGTTTGCACTTGCACTGGACGGGCCGCATCAAAGCCGTCGGCGTCGGCTTCTTTTGAGTTACATATAAAGAAAATGTTTTTAAGAGAAAAAAAGATAAAATAAACAGTTTTTTTCTCGTTATTTGAATTAAGGTTGGCGGCAACCTTTTTTATAATAAATTTTTCGTTAGTATACGTACAGACTGTCTAAAAGCACATTCGAATATTTTGAACATTTTATGTATTTTTTTCCCTTTTAAATTTATTTGGTCTATTCTAATCAAAAATGTTTAAAAAAGGAAACTAAGTTATTTGTGGTTTGGTTTGGTTTGATTTTTTTTGGTAATTGATGAAAATTTTAAGTGCAATATGTGTGCAGAGCAAAAATATCATAAAAAACACTTTAAAAGGCATATGGCATCGAAACACCCAACAGTTTCTTTGTAAGATTTTAATAAAAAAAATTATTCCCCTATTTATTCTGTTTTTTCTCAAAAATTTTGGGATTGAGCTTCCCAGTTTACAGCGTACCAATTTAAAAATATCAAAATCGCAATCGCAGGTTACAGTCGCAGCGATTTACAAATCACAATCGCAGTTTCAACTGCGATTGGAAAATCGTAGTTTTGCTCATCTCTAGTTAGTATCATCAGCAGATGATTATAAACTGTTTATAATAATAAGCGAAACGCGCGTCCAGTGTAAAAGTAAAAGTATTTTGGTGTATTTTGGTGATTTAGTGTTTTATTTTTCTATGTAATTTGACAAATAAATAAAGCTGTCTCTTTAATTGTCAGTTTTGAGTCAATATTTTTAATTCTCTTTCGTGTCGATTGCTGATTGAATTGGAGCCAGAAATGGCTCAAAACGAAATAAGTAAATTACCAACAGATATTCAGGCTGAGGCGACAAACGCCATATCCAAACTACTTCCATTTAAATCCCGAATAACTTATGAAAAGGAATACAAACATTTTCAAAAATGGAAGCAATTAAAAAACGTTCGAGAAGAAATAAAGTTTTTAACCTATCCTCGCTGTTGAAGTATCATTAATCTACCCTTGCGGTTAAAGTACTATTTTATCTACTATTTTTGATAGATATAAGGCAATTTTAACAGTTGCTATGGAAAACAGGTATTATTTTTAGCTTTTTGGTATTATGAATTTGAAATCTGAATGTCACGATCTAGTAATATACATAAATTAATCGTAATTATTATAAATAAATCTGCTTCTAAAAACCAGTTTCTAATGTTCTACATGTTCGACAGGATTACCACCCTCCCTAATGCACAAATTTTCTTTCTTCAATTTTATGTGCAGCCCTTTCAACATATCTTAAAATTTTACTTCCGAATTTATTTTGTACTCTTTGTTGTAAATGTTGAGGTGTCTGCTTTTACCAATGACGTCAAATAATGCCGCCCAAAGGAAAACATCCCTTACTGCTCCACCATTTTCAATCCATCTTCCGGGGAAATGATTTGATTGTTTATATTTTATTTATTTTATATTAGATTTTATTATTTTACTGTATTTGATTTTCTGTATTCAATGTTTTCCCACACGCCATTGTTAAATTTTAAAGCTCATCAGTATTGTTAAAAAATTAGAGCCGGACTTAAAATTAGTTTAAATAAATTGTGTTTAAGTGCCCGAAACAAAGTAAAAATATTAAGTGTGGCATACTGTTGTACTCAGGAGACCGAATTCTTTCAAAACATGAAATAAAAAATGGAGGTTCGCATGGAAAAAAAATTTGGAAGACTTACAATTTCTGACCCAAATTATTTATCTCCATGCTCATTCTCATCGACGTTTTGACCCATGAGGGAAGAAACGAGCAAGGAAGTAATAGGGATGAGAAAAATATATTGAAGTGAAATATCGATGTTTTTTAAATAGATTGTTATTGAAAAGTAGGTTTTGTCATCAAAGCTTAGAAATATATATTTTAGTTATTGTAGACACTCAAAGGGCACACAAATATCTAAAACTCAAATAATTATATTAGCAAAATGTCATTACAATCAT